TTCCCGTTGCGAGCCTCTGAACTCCCTCTAAGCAGGCAGCATCCTCTTTAAAGAGGAGTGACCATGCCTGCACAAAGTACTCGAGATGAGGTCTAACTAGCTTTGTACAGGGGCAGAAAACCCCTCCGGTTTTGTGCAAAACAGTGTTAACCTCAGTTTGAAGAGTTCTCTGCGAGGTTTTTCTGCAGCTGCTGTGCACTGTTCAGCCCAACGGAAATCGGAAGTCACAATAATACCTAGGTCCTCAGCCCTACTTACTGATTTTATCGTCAACAACCCCTGGTCCTCCATCACTGTTAAGCTGTCACCGGTTCTGAATTGTGCCAGCATTCAGCGGCAAATCCCACTTATGCACCGAGTTGAGGTCCTCTCTTCCTTTCGATTCAACCACCTTGACATCGTCGGCGAAGAAAAAGGTGGTCGATCTCAACAGCATAGCAAGGTCATTTGCGAATGGTAGGAACAACGGACCGAGCACGAAGCCCTGGGGTACACCACTTGTGAAGTGTGCTGCTAGCACCGTACACAGAATATTAATCAGACTGACTGGTCTGTAGTTACCTACCTCTAATTGGGTTCCCGCTTTTGTATAACCACTACTGCTGCTACCTTCCAGTCCATCGGTAGAACGTCCTGGTTTAGCGAAGCTTTGTGTAGCTTATACAGCGGTCATTCGAAGGTGTCTGCTATGGGCTTGATGTTAGCTGGATGAATCTTATCCGGTCCAACCGCTTCGTGGACGTCCAGATCCTCCAAATGCTGGTGCACTATCTCTTCAGATAGCTGAATCTCTTCAATTTCTGGCGGTGTGGATCCTATCTCAAGGATTCTTGGCATAGCGTCATCTGTTTGGCGTACACCACCAAAATAGCCGGCCAGTGCACCTGCTGTCGGTACAAGGAGAACGACTCATGACTTGCGGCTAATGCAAGTTTGAGTCCAGGTTCTTGCACCTTGAGTGTATTGTTTACTTATGTGTGCTTCGAAAAAAGAGAACCCTTTGCGAGCCAATTTTGGGCTCCTCGGTGCCGACTTGGGCAAGTTTCCGGTTCATGTGCTACGTCTGCAGCTGATACAGTTTATAGCTGAAAAGAAATGCCTGTAGAAAAAGAAAAGAAAAGGAATGCCTGCAGTCTAGGTATGCACCTAACTGGGTGGTTAGTGGGATGAGGCAACGCTAAACCAAAGACGGTTTTCTAGCGGGGATTTAGATATACTCGACAGGTTGCAAAAGAAGCTTGCGCAGAAGATATAAGAATAGGTATTGAGAAAAGTGGAATGAGTGAATTTTAGATGAAAGTATTCCGGGGGGTTCTCGTTTCAGCATATTGCGCAAAACTATGGTCTGTCGTGCGAGTTACCCGAGCGCTCTTCCATTCATCTGTGACTCTGCGTCTCCTGTGTTCACCTTTCAGCACACACGTTAAGACATGATCATGCATCGGTGGTATTCAGGTTGCCATAGGACTCCTTGGATGTATGCTGAATGGGAGGAAAACAAGCAGGGATATCTCCTCGTCTCATTGGTTAGAGATCCCAAGTACACGTGTTCGTGTACGCAAATCACATGTGACAAGACAGTCAGTTTGAGAATAATTCCAACACTTAAGCCCGAGTTTACTCCATTTCACAAAATTCCGGCTAAAGTAGAGTTTATTATTGATGTTCTCACTTTAAATACTAACTTTGGCTAACTTCACTGACCAAAATGCGTCCAGAACCACCTTGAAGGCGTAACATTGACGCAGTTGACCACTTCTGCAGGTAACCTTTTTCACATAGGTATGACCCTGTGTGCGAAGAAGTTGGCCCGTACTNTACTTCCAACCTGGCGTGGTTTTTGCTGAAGTTTATAGTTATGAACACGAGAAATCGTAAACAAGTCATTTAGGTTGAGTCCCGATAGACCTCTTACAATTTTCAAAGTCTCTATCAGATCTCCCCTCACTCGTCTGCGCTACAGCGAAGAGATTGAGATCTCTCAACCGCTGCTCATAGCTTTTCCCCCTTTGCCCAATCACCACTCTGGTAGCTAGGCGTTGCACTCTTTCTAAACATGTTACATCCATCCTGCAATACGGTGCCCATGCCTGCACACAATACTCCATGTTTGGGCGAACAATCGATTGATACCGTGGGATGAAAACCTCAGGCCGTCTGCATGTCACTGTGGTGTGCAACCAGAACAACTGCACCCTAGCCTGATTGGCAGCCTTGGAGCACTGAGTTGAAGGTCTAAAATCTTGGGTCATGAGAACCCCTAGATCCTTCATCTGCAGGACCTGCTGCATGGGAGCTCCATTAAACGAGTATACCCCAGCTCTCGTTGCTAAGAGCCGGCTCTTTCTAATGAGTACTCGGGTTCGAGGATTGCGTCCAACTGTCTCGGTTCTGTAATAACAATATAATAGTGGTATATTTCACGAAACCCCACGAAGCATGCGGAAGCATGATCATATTTGGCTGCTTTTCTGCATTTCGGTGCGCGAGCTGAAAAGGAGGTTAATGAAAAACTGAGCTGGTTCAAATATGATGCTTTTTGGTTCAGAGTGCATGCATAGGGGAAAATCTA